CCCCAAAACCCCAAAACCCCAAAACCCCAGATAAAATATTAAAAATAGAAATGGAATCTTATGACAAAAAAATGGACAAAATCTTTGGATTTGGTGTATCTACAGTGCTTCTCCCATACTTTGGAACTCTCGAAGCATCTGCATATCTTATGTCTTCTTGCTGTAGAAACTCTAGAAGGACATGGTTTGAAAACCTTAAAGTATTCACAGAATATCTTATTCCCAGCTATCGCCTGCAGGACAAAATTGGAAAAGATGGCTTCTTTGATTCAATCTCAGACAAAGATTTTGAATGGCTTATATCTCTCCCAATAACATACTTCAAGTTCAATATCAAGATCCAAAAGCGGGAGGGTTCAACCTCTTTATCATGATATAGAAATTTCTATGATTATTTACAAGAGCTCAGTAACAAAATGGCTAGTGCTCCAGAGGAGATGAAGATGCTCTATAGGATCAATAACCACTGTAGAATTTTCATCAATGCAAATGATGACCTCAAGTCTTACATTTCGATCTACGATTGCTTTCAAGAGATGGGAACCGACGACAGGATCCTTGATGTCAAATTTACTCTTTGTGAGTATGATTTCGATGAGTCCATGTATTGTCCCTACTTTGAATGCTCTCAAGTCATAATGAAGACTATTGAGGATGAGTATTACACTGACAGATATTTTGCAGAGTATTGCCCTGTAAGTTCTGATATGCCATTTTTCAGAAAAGTTAATAGATTCAAATGAGAAGTAAACAGACCAACTTCCCTGCTATATTTCTTGCAAAATTGTAAAACATTAATTGATACCTTGATTGTTGACTATACAACTCTTGTGACAGTGATCAATTACAATAAAGATAGTAACGAACTTATTGGAGAAAGTATTTTCTCAGAATCCCTCAGAAAATATCTGAACAATATCAAGCTAATAAATGTAAAGCCTCAGGAAAGGGAGAAATTAAAGATTCTGATGGACTATATACTGGAGAATTTATCATTAAAGGGAATATTCATATCTTTAATGAGCCATACACAGGATATTGTGCCAGACTACTGTTCTAGTATTCCTAATTACTTGTTCTCAAAGTATTACGGATTACAAGAAATTTACCTTGCAGTAGACGACACATATCATTTCCCAACAACTTTTAAATGATTTGGAAGAAATGTCCTCTTCCAGATAATTCACAAGGATGAGTTTGGAGTTTCCACCCATACTCTCTTTTGTGAAAAGGTTTCTATCAAGTAACTTATCTGCTAATTCTATAGAGAAACTGAGGTCAAAGAACTAGATAGTAATGTCTGATATTTAACAGCTAAAAAATTTAATCTTCAAGGGATCAGATACATCCATGAAGATGAGCTTGGAGACCTTGAAAATTTGAGGTACAAGAAGAACATTATTGAAAAGGAACTAGACTTTAAGGGACAACACCAGCATCTTAAGGGCTTACATACCCTTGGTAAGTGAAGTTGGTCATAGTTTAGGTAGCGGAAGATTTAACTTCAAGATGTTCACTGATGATGCAATGAGATGCTGACAAACCAGGCATAGTTTTCAATAAATTCAAAAGTGGAAGGGGTTTTGGGGTTTTGGGGTTTTGGGG